TTTCTGCACGATTTTCTTAAAATTACAAACAATTGCTTTTACTCTTAACTCTGAAGATACAAAATTGATTTCATGAACATTATTTTTTGGAATTAAGCGATCTGAAATGGCTAAATATTTTTAAGGGACGATGGGTTTCCTAAGCAGTACGGAGATTACAACGTGACTAATCTCTCTTCTGCGTACTTGTGGCAAAATTAGCTTTAAAAATTATAGTCCGAGGTTTACACGCACGTGCAGTATAGAATTCAGATACTTAAGTGGCAACGTCTAAAAATAAACATTGTTCGTACCCACGCGATTGCCATTCAGGATGTGGAAGGAATGTAACTTACGCAATTGACTGATCATATTTATGTAAACCAATTGGGACTTTTTTGTATCAAGAGTTATATATTATTAATATATTCCTACTTTATATAAATTGTGTGTGTGTGTGTGTGTGTTATTGATCTAGTGACGAGCTGTGAACTCCGCTGAAAATGTCATTAATTGGAAACTCTTGTGACTGATAAATATAAACTTAGAATGTAATAAGTTTAAATTATGTAGTTTATTTATTGACTTACCTGCTGATACTTGCGATGTCACCGTTGTGTTGAACTGGTAAAAATAAGAAAACTTCTATAATTGGAAGAAATGTAAGATTTTATTGCAAATCCCTTAATTCCACTTCACTGAAATTGCATTCCGTTTTAACATTAATGCATATCTCAAAACTCTGATCACTGATCATGTTATGTTGTTGTTTATAAAAATAAGAGTACGTTTTTCTCTGCTAACATTTAATGTACAAGAATAGGGTATTAAAATGTCACCCTTGGTGTACTAGTGGTTAGCATGCTAACCACTGGACCCAAGGTTTGTGGATTGAAATGTGGTCGAGGTCAATGGATTTTTAAGGATGATGAAATCCGTACAACTCCCTGGCTAAACTAAACTCTTACTAAATCTGGCGGTCCCATATTGAAAACTTATGGCATGAGAAATAACCTTACGAGCATGAACGAGATGTTCTGTAAGCAAAATTCAGCGGCCATTTCTCACCAATGTCTCACCTGATTCTCTACTGGATGGCTGTAGCAGAATAAAATCAGGATTGAGTAGAAATTGTGCAGAGGCAGTGGGCTGGTCACTCACTACTCACAAATGTACACTTCAGACATGCCATCCCCCACAACCCGCAGCCACACGACACCTGCCAGACTGTGTATCAGTGATAGTTTCTGGTTGTTATAGGATGGGGAAAAATTCGAAAGGTATTTGAAATTTTGAAAAATCATGAAATGCTGGAAATTGTCCAAAAAGCGCACAAAACCGATTTTTTTTAATTTGTTCAAAAAAAATTTGAATTTGAAATTTTTCAAATATTTTGAGTTTTATGCTTTTTGAAATTTTCGAATAAAAATGTTTGAAGTCGAAATTTTTCAAAAAAGTGTAAGCTTTGTGCGCCTTTTGGATACTTTCCTATATTTTTTGATGTTTCGAAATTTTTGAAAAAAAAATTGAATTTTTTTAAAACGTCTTCCCACCCATGCTATATGCCGGACCCTCTCTCTCTCTCCCCGACCCGGTTTCTGCAGTTCTATGTCTGCCTTACCGTCTCTGACGGACCCGGTCTCTCCCTGACTCGGCTTCTGCACGACTCGGGCTATGTATGATGTGTCCTCTGACCGCCACACGACGCCACATATCATCCGCCGCCACCCGCCAGACCGTGTCTCGGTGATCGTTTCTGTTAGGTGTAGGGTCTCGGTCTCTGCCTCAACTTGGCTTTTCAGAGACGGCACGTCAGAGACTGTGTGGGAAACAGACCGTGTTCGTCAGAGACACAGTACATCAGATACAGTCCGAAAGCGACCGGTTTTGCAAAGCATCAGGTGTGGAGAAATTTGAAAGACATTTTGAAAAATTTGAAAATTTTCGAAATATCAAAAAATGCTGGAAATTGTCTGAAAAGCGCACAAATACAAAAACATTTAAAAAAAATTGAAATGTTTTTTTTAATGTGAAAGCCTCTCTCTGTGTCTGCCGGACTCAGCCTCTATCTCATCAGGTTGCTGCCTGCCTCGGTGTCTGCACCAACCGGCCTCTGCACGGCTCGATCTCTGTCGGTGAGGGCCTCTGCCTTACGTGTTGTCCACCGCACCTGGGCTCCTCAAACACGGCACGTCAGAGCCGTGTCATACAGAGACCGGGCAGTGCAGACCCCTAGACATTTTTAAATTTTTTTCAAAGGTCACCTCAAGAGATGCATGCCAGTCTCGGTGAACGCCACATCCTGTCTCTGCCGGACTCCGCTCTATCTCACCCAGTTACTGCCTGCCTCGGTGTCTGCATCAACCGGCCACTGCAGGACTCTGGTCTCTGCAGGTCCGTGATGCCTCACGTGATGTCTGCCGCACATGGGCTTCTCAGATACGGCACGTCAGCCCTGTCATACTGAGACCGGTCCGTGCAGAGCCCGAGTCAGGCACAGACCGCATTCGTCAGAGATGCAGTACATCAGAAACAGACCGGCAGAGACCGGTTCCGCAAGGCATCAGGAGCTGGAATTTTGAAATATTTCAAAATTTTCAGAAATCAAAAAAATTCCGGGAATTGTCCAAAAAGCGCACAAAACCAAAAAAAATTGAAAAATTTCACCTTCAATTTTTTTTCAAAAATTTTCAAAAATTCTGGGTTTTGTGGGCTTTTCAGACAATTTCCAGCATTTTTTGATTTTTCGAAAATTGTGAAAATTTTCAAATTTTTCAAAGGTCTCCTCAAGAGATGCATCCAGTCTCAGTGAATGCCACATCCAGTCTCTGCCGGACACCGCCTCTGTCTCACTCAGTTGCTGCCTGCCACGGTGTCTGCACCAACCGGCCTCTAGAGGACTCCGGTCTCTGCAGGTCCGTGATGCCTCACGTGATGTCTGCAGGCCCGAGTCAGGGACAGACCGCATTCGTCAGAGACACAGTACATCAGAAACAGTGCGAGAGAGACATGTTCTGAAAGGCAGGTAGTGGAATTTTGAAATTTCTTCAAAATTTTCAAAAAATCGAAAAATGCTGGAAATTGTCCAAAAAGCGCACAAAACCATAAAAATTTGAAAAATTTCACAATCAAATTTTTTCAAAATTTTTGGTTTTGTGTGCGTTTCAGAAAATTTCCAGCATTTTTTGATTTTTCGAAAATTTTCAAAATTTTCAAAAATTTTTAAAGGTCTCCTCAAGAGATGCATGCCAGTCTCGTTGAATGACACATCCTGTCTCTGCCGTACTCGGCCTCTATCTCACACAGTTGCTGCCTGATTCGGTGTCTGCAACCGGCCTCTACAGGACTCTGGTCTCTGCAGGTCCGTGTTTTTGGTTTTGTGCGCGTTTCAGACAATTTCCAGCGTTTTTTGATTTTTCGAAAATGTTGAAATTTTTTTCAAAACTCTCACCAAGAGATGCATGCCAACCTCGGCGAATGACTCACCCTGTCTCTGCCGGACTCGGCCTCGATCCTTTACGATTGCTGACTGCCTCGGTTTCTGCACAACCGGCCTATGCAGGGCTCCATGCGTGGCCGACCGTGACACTGCCCGTCGCGGTATCTGCCTTACGTGTTGCATATATAGAAGAGATCGTGTGAGGCACAGACCGCGTTCGTCAGAGACAGTACAACAGACACAGTCCGACGGCGATCTGTCCTGCATAGCATCAGATGGGATGACATTTGAAAGAAATTTTGAAATTTTTGAAAAATTTTACAAAACTCTCACCAAGAGATGCATGCCAACCTCGGCGAAGGCCTCACCATGTCTCTGCCGGACACGGCCTCGATCCTTTCCGATTACTGACTGTCTCGGTTTCTGCAAAACCGGCCTATGCAGGGCTCGATATGTGGCCGACCGTGTCCCTGCACGTCTCGTTACCTGCCTTACGTGTTGCATCCCTCACCTCGGCTTATCGTCAGACACACAGTACATCAGCGACAGTGCGACAGCGATCTGTCCTGCATGGCATCAGGTGGGATGAAATTTGAAAGAAATTTTGAAATTTTTCAAAATTTTCAAAAATCAAAAACCGCTGGAAATTGTCCAAAAAGCGCACAAAACAAAACAAAAATTAAAAAAATTCACTTTCAAAATTATTTCAAAAATTTCAGAATTTTTTGGTTTTGTGCGCTTTACAAACATTTTCCAGCATTTTTTGATTTTTCGAAAATTTTGAAAATTTTTTCAAAACTCTCACCAAGAGATACATGGCGAAGGCCTCATCCTGTCTCTGCCGGACACGGCCTCGATTCTTTCCGATTGCTAACTGCCTCGGTTTCTGGAAAACCAGTCTATGCAGGGCTCCTTGCCTGGCTTTGCTTGGCCTTGACCTCCACTTTCCTCGCCTTGCCTGGCCTTGGCTCGCCTTGCTTGGACTTGCCTGCCATGCCTGGGTTTGCATGGCCTTGCCTGCCATTGCCTTGCATTACCTGGCCTTGTCTGGCATTTCCTGGCATTTATTGGCCATGCATGGCCTTGCCCCGTCTTGCCTGGAATTGCCTGCCTTGCTTGGTCTTGCTTGCCCCGCGTTGCCTCGCCTTGCATCACTTTGTCTGGCCTTGTCTAGCCTGGCCTGGGTTTGCATATCCTTGCCTGCCTTAACAGGCATTGCCCCGCCTTGCTTGGACTTGCCTGACCTTGTATCTCCTTGACTTAAATTGCCTCGTCTTACCTTCTCCTTGCCTGGCCTTGCATGATCATGCATCGCCTTGCCACGCCTTATCTCGCCTTGCCTGGGCTTGCCTCGCCTTACATGGCCTTGCTTGTCCTTGCCTGCCTAACCTGAATTTGCCTGGCCTTGTCTCCCCATTCCACACATTTCCTTACCTTACCTCGTCTTGCATGGCATT